ACCTTGAGCAGAAGATGATAGAGGAGAGAATCCCAGCCCCGTGACCTTCCCACTGGCCTTTGCTCTGTGCACACTGGCCTCTCTCCCCGTGTCTGGGGATTGGCATCTTTCTGGGCATTTGTGTGCTCCCCACATGTCCACCCCGTCCCCGTCAGTGCCCACCAGCTGGCCAGTCTCCTCCACCACAGGGAAACGTCAGCCCTGCCGCCCGCTCCCTGGGCCTCTCTGACCCTTGCTGGGTGCAGCACCAGGTCCCTCCCGCCCCGAGGCCCTGTGCAGTCTCTCATGCTTCCGTCCTCCCTTCAGAGACGAGGACATGAGTCCAGAGGGTTCTCGTGACTTACTCAAGGTCACAGTCCTGGTAAGGTACAGAGCCGGGCTCCCAGCTCCGGGGGCTCGACTCTGAGCCCAGCGCCCTCCCCATCAGCAGCAGCACGGGTCAGGGGGTGGGGGGGACCGTGCTGTCTTCCCCTCTTCTGAGCCCCACGGGTGACACACACTGAGTGCCAACTCCGCTGGCCTCAGACCCAGCTTCCTCCATCCACTCAATACCCCTGGGCTGCGGCTGCTGCTTTATAGCCAAGGAAACGGAGGCCCAGAGAGCGGAGTGACTTGTCCAAGGTCACACAGAGCTGGTGGAGGTGGCAGATGACAGTGTGGAAGCGAGGTGTTCTACCTGCCTGGAAGAGATAGAGCCACCAGTCTGGGTTGGAGTCCCTGCTGTGGCCAGGCGACCTGGTAAAACCTCTCTCATTGCCTGGTTGTTTAGAGGCCAGGGAGACACACGGGGTGAAGCTTACTGTAGCTGATCCTGGGCCCAGAGTAGGGGCTCCGTCAATCTGTGTGCCTTAGAGCTAGGCTGGAAGCCAAGGGGACCCCCTGCTGGAGCTCAGCAGGCACCTCCTGGGCCCCTGGCAGCTCTGGGGCTCCCTTTCTTTAATCTCCTCCCTCTTTCCCACCAACGGGCACTCTCTTGTCCCCCTCCTTATTGCATATCCATGGGTTTTCACCTCGGAAAGACCCTTCTGCCTAAATTCTTATCTGCTTCCTGTGGTTAATTTGGTCAGATTCTGTACATCTGTCTGAGTCATGGTCCACTCCTGGCTCTGCTGCCTCGGTACTGGGCTTCTCATGGCCTCCGTCCTGGCCCCCATGCAGGTGAGCTGCTCCTGTTCCACTCTGACCACCTGACTCTTCTTTGCCAAGCTGCTCTCATCCTCTGTGGCAGAGGAGGGTTCAATTTCCAAGCTTCCTCCGAGCACTCACTCTAAAGCCCAGTATCATTCTCAGCACTTTCCACTCATCATCTTATTTGACTGCGTGGTCAGGACCAAGTTAGTCATTGTTTCCTTTTGAGGGTTCAGAGAGGTTAAGGGATTTGTCCGAGGCAGCAAATGGTGGAGCCAGGGACTCAAAAACCATTTCGGGTTGACTCCAGATCCCAGGCTCTTAAACCCTCCTACGTGATTCTGTCCCGAAGCAGAGGGAAGGACGGACGAAAGTCCTTATTAGGGGTACGGTCTGAATGCCCCCTCACCCACTCAGTTGGAGGGGTGGAATTTGGGTTCTGAGTTCCCACGTTGGCCAAGAAGGTGCCCTGGGATTTCCCAAAGACAGAAAAGGGCCAACCTACGTGGGAGGGAGGAAGAGTGAGTCTCCGGGGCCTGAGGAGTTCTCAGAACCGTGGCCTCCAGTGCTGGTCTAGCAGCTGGGAGGGTGCTCAGCTTCTCGGGGCCTGGTGCACACGGCTGGGGTTCATGTGCAGGCAAAGCTCTGAGGTGCTCTCTTTTTCTCTGCGCTCTGCCTTTAAGGACTCCCCCACCCTCAGCTGATGGGGAGACAGAGAAGAATAGCAGCCTTGGGGGGGGGGGGTCAGGGTGATGATGGATGCAGGCAAAGGGGACCTCTGGGAGCCAGAGAAAGGCCCTGCAGATGAGCTGCTATCCCCAAGGGCCACCAAATCTATGGCAGAGTGACCAGAGGTGGGAGAGCACTGGGTTCACATCTATACTCTGCCATTTCTGAGCTGGGCACCTCCAACAAATGTTCTCTGACCCTCAGTTTTGTCGTCTCTGAAATGGAAACACTTCCCCGGACTGTAGTGACCATGAGATGAAGGAACTTTGTAAAGCACATGGGGGGGGTGTCAGATGTCACATCCCCGCTTCCGGCTCACCTTTTCCTGCCACAAGTCTCCAAGAAGAATCCTCAGCGGCTGCGGTGGGAGCTGTGGGAGTCAAGGGCTCGATGCTCACTGAGCGGAGGTCTCTGGGCTCCTCCAAAGGGGACCTGGGTGAGAGACGGAGGGTGACTGAGGACGACTCCCTGGGCTCAATTTAAAACAGCCCAAGACAAACACAACACAACCCCCAAGAGGGAAGGGCCACAAGGTTTATTGGTGGGCTGTCAGGGACTTGAAATCCCAAAGACGCCTCTTCACTCTCAAATCTGGGAGATCCTAGAGTGGGGTGAAGAACACAGAGTCTAGATCCAGACTCCCGAGGTTTGTTTCTTGGCTTTATGACCCTCAAGAGCAGGAAGGGAACTTCAGTGTTTTCTTCTATTGCCCAGGGTCTTCTATTGGATCTTCTATTCCTCCGCCGTAAATAGCATCCGTATAATGTTATCAGTGTCTTCCTCCTGGGGACACAGGAGGGTAATGGGGGGTAAAGTATCTAGGGAGATGCACATGGAAACTGGGGCGGGGGGTAAGTGGTAGCTGCTGTGTTTCCGCTGCTGGGACACTGACTTGGAAAGGCCAGAAGGGCCTTCAGGGCTTCTCGGTGCCTGGTTTCCAGATGGGCAGCCCCAGCCGTAAGAGTCCCTTGCTGGGGTCCAGGAGAGGGGCGCATAGGCAGCCCACCGGCCCCCATCTCTGTTCCTTGTCTGTTGCATAATTGAGTTCCCCTGTGAGAGATGTTGGGATGAGTGTGGGGAGGAGGGAAGCTCTGCTGGTCTTATAAAAGTCGAAGGTCTAGATATCTATCCCAGGGATTCCCAAATTGCGCCCACATCCCAGCCCATGAGGATCGTCTGACCATTTCCCCCGCTATGGGCGCCATGTTTGAAGAGTTTGGTCCACTCCAACTGCACAGGATTAGCAGTGGTGTGTGAGGCTTTAGTGTTGGTCAGGACAGACTTTTGGAAGCCTTAAGATGATGAGCCTTCATTGCCTACTTCAGGGTTGTAAGGAAGACTCCCACCCCGTAGGGTACCGTGTCTCCTGAAAACCTCTGTGAACCAGGAGCTGTGGCCTAACATCACTTGATTCCACAAGCATCCTTCCTTCCATTTTAAAAAAAAAATGTTTTTAGATGTTGATGGACCTTTATTTTGTTCATTTGTTTATATGTGGTGCTGAGAATCGAACCCAGTGCCTCACACATGCTAGGCAAGCGCTCTACCACTGAGCCTCAGCCCTGGCCTCCTTCCTTCCATTTTAGGCTGAAAGATCATAGGCATGATGGTGGGGGACAGTGGGGTTGAGGGGCTGGTGTGGAGGGGGACAAGATTGCTCACTGTCACTCACCTGAGCCTTATTTTTAGAGTCTTGGAGAAGATCTTCTTGCTCATGCTGGTAAAACGGCCTCGGCTCTTCTGAATGTTCATTGTTATTTGAGATTTATTCATTTGTTCCCTTTGTTTGTGGAGCTGTGCAAGAAGATGATAATCGATGAGAAGTCACAGATGGAAAATTGAGTTAAACTATAAAAAATAAATTAAGCCAGGCACAGTGGGGCACACCTGTAAGCCTGACCACGGCGGAGGATCATGAATCCAAAGCCAGCTTCAGGCAATTTAGCTGGGACCTAAGCAACTTAGTGAGACCCTGTCTCTAAATAAAAGTATTAAAAAAGGGCTGGGGATGTGGCTCAGTGATTAAGCACACCTGGGTTCAATCCCTGGCACCAAAATCAATCAATCAATCAACACATGCATGGCCAAATTACTAAAATTACATAGATTTTATTGATAAGGTTTTTTTGATGAGCTCAATAATATACTGATTCAGAGAATTTCACTTTCTATCAAAAAATTAAAAGGACAAACTTTTCTTGAAGTATTGGTCGGCTTTTGATTATGAAATGTTTTATTTTTTCCTAAACCTTTTAAGTAATTGGCCTAGAACACAAAGGGTCTGTGTTTTATAAAGATAATTTTACTGGCTTCATGTTGTCTCTTATTAGGTCTTTGATTCCTTTACAAAGTCTTTTCACTAAGAGCCGTTTTTATTTTCTTTTATGACTATGCAACTATCTGTAATTGACTTTAAAATCTTTAGTCCATACGTATTTTTTTTACAATGTCCTGTGATCCTATTTAACTAAGCATTTAAAACTTCCACACATGTTTAACAGCTCCCCGCAGTCAAATTCTAAATTGTCTTTTTTAACCTCAAATTAACTATGAGAGTTTTAAGATGCTGAAGTATCTCAAAAGATTTTGTTTTCTTTTCTTATAGAAAGAGAGATGCATGAGGAGTCACTGTCAGATAATATGTGAGGCAGGGGCTCCCTAAGTTGTATTTGTTATTGATCTGAGCATTCCAGGGATTGTATGAAACTCCTGGGAACCCAATATGTCCTAGTGTAATGGTGTCATGTAATTCTAATTATTGAGTTAAAATGTTATATGTCACTAAAGTGATCAAATCTGTCAGCCGCATGATATAAAATTGCAGGACAATCTTGAAAAAGACTGATAAGTACTCTCTTCTGATAACTTTAAGACCATCCTATCGGACCCGGTCAGAATTTCCAAAGCTCTCATGGAAAATTTAGACCCATGTGATGGATCCAAGGCACTGCTAGCAAATATCAAGCAAAACAAAAATTAATTGTATGAACTGAACACCATAATTATCATTTTTTAAATGACTTTTTGTTTAAAGCCTTGTTGATCCTTTAATGTCTTTATTTTCTTGATCTAGGGAAACTTTTTTCCTCTTTTCTAGTGAGCTGTCTAGAACTTAATTGGGTAAAATATTCTTTTGTAAACAGGTTAGACAATATGGAGGACTTGGCCATTGGCCACCTGAGCCCACCATCATGGGATGACCTCACACCTGTTGAAAGGATTGATGAGATCACCTTCACTGCACCTTTGTTCCAGAAACCACTCCAACTCGATAGATAGCCAAGCGCACCCCCTAGCTCACTGAGAGGATGAACAGCAGCGGGGGAATTGTTGAAGCACATGGACACAGAGACCAGGCCTGCAGGATCCCTGAGCAGAAAAAAACAATTAGGCCTCTGAGTGACCTTAACCTTGCTTAATTGGCAAATGTAAACAAAACTTAACTTGAGTCGTTTCTGGTAAATACTTAATGTTAGATAGAAACAGTACCTAACCTCAGCCAATCCTAGGCAGCCCATGAACAGGAGATCCTGTGACTTGGAATTTCAACCATGTAAATAAACCAAAAGAAGGCAGTTTTGTAACTGTGGCCTCAAATCATTTTTAATTCTCTTCTGTTTTTTCCCTCATCAATACTTGTCTGAGGCTTTTGTCATCACAACCCTGAACTTTGGATGGTCTGGAATTTCCTAATTTTGTCATCACAACCCTGAACTTTGGATGGTCTGGAATTTCCTAATTTCCTTCTCAACTTAAATAAACTCTTTAACATCTTATTGGGCTCAGTTTACTTCTCAACAAGCAGGGAGCCATCTGTTTTGATTTAGCTAGTTGCACAGCATTCACGGTGTCTCCCAGAGGTATATATTCACACATAAACCTAGTCCTACCAAAGCATGCTCAGAAACAGCAGCTACGGGAGAGCCTTAGGTAAACTCACTATGCATCACACATGTTCTTTGAGGTAACATGGAAACAGGTACCTAGGCGGAGAGGTGGTCATATACTCAGACACATGTATGCATCCAAAAACACATAATAAGAGGTATGCACACACATGCACTTGCATATGGGTACCTACTAATTGTGCTAGTCAGCTTTCTGTCACTATAATGAATACCTGACATAATAAACTTATAAAAAGAAAAGGTTTGTTTGGGCTTACCATCTTAGAGCTTCCAGTTCATAATGGGTTGGTGCCATGGCTTTGGGTGAAGCAGCACATCAGGTTGGCAGTTTGTGATGAGGTAAAAGCACACACCTCATGGCCACGTAGCAAAAGAAAAAGAGAGGAAAGACAGGGGTCCTATAGTCCCCTTCAGGGGCACGCCCCCAATCGCCTAAAGACCTCCCACTAGGCCCCGCCTCTTAAAGGTTCTATCACCTTTAGCTATCACCTTTAGTCTCTAACATGTGGGCCTTTGGTGGCCCACACTGAATGAAAAGAACTTTCCCACAGCCCATTGTGACCAGCTCTGTCTTTGGAAGAAATTTACTGAAAGAAAAATTAAAGCAATAATAGGATACAATTTCATTCTTATTATGTTGTCAAAAAAGGAATGACATAAGAGCCCTTGGTGCTGGAGGCCCGATGTTGTCAATTGGGCATATTTATATGGCTACCGACAGAGCTAATGGCTACATTCCTTTTAGAATGTTTTTCCTTTGTGTTCCCATGGCCAGGGGTGTGCCCGTGTCCTCTTTTCCTAGAATTCCTCTTCTAGGAAGTTAATCTGAAGAAAACATCACAAGTAGAAAACGGGACTTATAGAAAAGCACTCAGAACAGTGTTATTTAGAAATAACCAGCTAAATGTCTATAATTGCATTATGTCACCTCCATCGGATGAAATATTTTCCAGTCATTACCATGGCAATTATGGAAATTAAGAAGCAAAATCACAGAAAAACACTCACAAGGCAGTCAGTGTGAAAAGAACACACGATTGATTTTGTGTTCAGGGTGATCGGGACAGTAAAAAGGTTTTTCTACAAAGAGAGAAATCGTGAAAGTCGAGAAACAAACAGTTCTTGGTTGTGATGCAATCATTATTGATTTGACTTGGTGTTTTTTTTTTTTTTTTTGCATGTACTTTAATGTTGTCAAGATGATTTTCAATTCCTAAATATATATCTGTAATATAAAAGCCAAGTCAAATCTAAGTTGGCCCTTCACCGACCCACTTCTGCATCAGACTTAAGGACCCACGTGTGTGAGGGCAGACACAGACTAATGTGTAGAATAATACATGAGTGCACTTGAGTGAGCAAGCCTCCCTCCCGGACTCCACCTACAGGACTCTTACGTGACCAACTACACAGTGACCACAGCTCTCCATGGGCCTGCGCCTCAGCTCACTATTCTGCCCAGACCCAACATGCCATATGTCCAGATCACTACTGACCTGAGGACGAGTCCTCCCAGACAGAGGAATCTCCTTCCTAGATGCTAAGATGACTCTTGGTGGAAAGAGTCGTCTAGAAGTCAGGCCAGAGGACAAGTCCTTGCTTCTGCATCAACTCTCTCTGTGACCTTTGGCTAAAATAGTGAATAATCATTTTAAATTTGTTGGGCATCATGGTAGGTTCTCTATATCAGTGGTTCTCAAGCTGTAGGCACAAAGACAGGGCATAGCAAACCTGTTAATACAGAGATCACTGGGCCTTGTTCTCAGAGTTTAAGTCGCAGTAGAGCCCAAGAGCTTGTATTTGTAACAAGTCCCCAGGAGGTGCTGCTGCTGCTGCCGGCACACTCCTGAAAGCCACTGCTCACCCACACTGTCGCGTTGCTCATCATGGTCTTGCAAAAGAAGTGCCTTAAATAGCCTGCCTCTGGGAGCCTGGAGAAATGGGATGGGTTGGCCAGTCACTGAACCACCTTGGTTTCATTGTGTGTAAGAGGAGTACCAAGATCCCCTGCTTCTCTTGCAAGAGCTAAAGGCTACTATGGCTGTGAAAGGGACAGCCCAGATACTATAGAGTCTGCTCTTATGGATAGACCTGCACACACATACAGGGTGGCGGGGGGGGGGGGGGGGGGAGAGGGAGAGACCCCTCTATTGTGGAGACCAACTGACCAACTTCTCCTTGGAACATGAACCATCCACAGAAGTCAGTCCTCTGCCTGCTCGTTTTCATCAGTGAGAACACGCTGACTCAGAGGTAGCCTGCATAGTTTCTGCCATCAGCAGGAATGCTCAGCAAAGTGACAGGCACTGCTGGTGACTTTGCAAGGCACACCACCATTTGTGGTCTGAGGCTTATCACCTCCATCCACGGTGTGCGTGGATGAGCTGGGTACTCTGAGGGTTGCATAGAAGTGACAGGAAATGTCAGTTGTTTGATGAGGTCTTTGACCTTTCTTGTGGTGCCCAGAGGGGAGGTTCCGTTCAGTGCCTCCTAGCTGAGCACAAGGCAATCCCAAGTCTGTGATGGGGGCCCTCCGGATGCTCTCAAGGGAGACGAATCTTAGAGCTGCTACTTTGATGCTGTGGGTGCACCAGTCCTTTGGGTGCACCTCCGTTTTCTCATCTGTAGTATGGGGAGAGGGACGCCATCCCTCACTGGGTGGTCCTAGGGTCCAGTAGGCCAGTGTCTGTTCAGAGCATGGCTTGGTGCCTGACAGAATTTCCTGGAACTTGATGAGGTGGCTCAACTTTTTCTAAAGAAGGGTAAAAGTCTGCATGCTTCTAGGATGCTTTCAGTTTAAATGCAACCACAGAGGGGGATTTACATCACCAGACACCAGGACTTGTTCTGAGTGGCAGGTCAACATTGGATTGACCAAGTTGACCAATGAAATGAAAAGTGAAAGTTCAGGATCAGAGCCACGTGTGCATGAAGCGGTGGTGTGTGACACAGTTTCTCATGTTGGATCAGAGGGGACAGGAGGGACAGATCAAAGGCGAGGCCTGGAGAAATTGCAATCTGTAAAAAAAAAAAAGGTCAAATTGGATCCATACATTCTACAGCACACAAAGAAGATCAATTCCAGATGGTTTAATGGTCGAAGGATGTCTTAAAAAGTTTTAAAAAGAAAATCTTGATGGATTTTTTTTTTTTTGTAAATCTTGGGGAATATATTTTAGCCTTGTGTCTTTAAATAAAGCAAAAGTGTTGATGTAAAAGAAATGGCTGACAAATTTGTACCTAAAGGACGAGTTTTCTTGCTTTAAAAGACAACCCGAAAACAAGTTACAAATCAGAGAATCTGTCATGATGCACATACCTACAGGTTTAGTACAAGAGAATATGAAGAGCTCCTCCCTCTCCATCGGATGCTGTGTTCTTGTTTAAAATGATTCAGAATATGTTTTCCCACACCACTGACTCTGGGCTTAGCCACATTTTTTCCCTGAGCCAATAGATACTAGTAGAGAGGACATGTGTCATAGCCTGGCAGAAGTTTGGAAAGCATTGCAAATCTCTGCCAACACTTTCTCATGGATTCTTTGCCAGGAGAATAACACATCCTCAGCAAAAGCTGTTCCTTACCCCAAGCCCAGGAATAGGGAAGATTTGACCCAGCCCACAGCTTGGAGCCAAGATGCAATGGGATCCCAGACTTGGGAGCAAGATAGCCATGTTTCTTGATGGAAGTCATGGATATTTTGGGGCTGCTTGTTATTGTAGCAAAAGCATACTAACACAGAGATTAATGCCTAGAAGTGAGTGTTACTCTAATTAGATGTATAATTTTGGCTTTGGGGCTAAGTGGCAGGCAGCAAGATCATTTCTACACAGGATTGGAAAAATGGTAACCTACATAAAGCAGTACTATAACATTTGGTAAAACCGTCACATGTCTAACTTGGAAGGCAGAAAATAAAACTACTGAATCTGAGGCTTTGGGAGAAGAGGTTTAGAGACCAAATGTTGTTGTGTGTGTTAATGGATGCTAGCTGCGCTGTGTTGCAAGAAGTGCTACGAGAAAGATGACATCAGCAAAAGAACTGGCTCATTTGCAAACGAAACTGAAAGGAATCAGAGAATCTAGGCATTCTAGGGCGTACAGGATTTGAAAGATGCAATCATCTCTTCTTTCTCACCTTTGAAGTTTGTAAAATATTCTCAAAATAAGACATAGCTTTAGAGCACAGATCAAATCAAAGCATGGTTATTAACACTCAACCTGGTGGCCAGGACCAAATCCAGGGCATGAGGTCACCGTCTTTGATAAGACCTCTGATAAGAAGAATAGCTTCCTAGGAAATCCTGTTATTTGGATAAAAAGGCTCACGGGTAAGAGATGGTCTCATAAAACCTGATGGTATTCAAGTGCTTGAGGTCACATCTAGAGAGCAAGGCCTTTGTACAAATAAACTGTGGGTTTGGCTACTGATAGTTCAAAAGCAGTTTCTGAAGCCAGGCATGGTGGAGCATAGCTTTCATCCCAGCGACTTGGGAGGCTGAGGCAGGAGGATTGCAATTTTGAGGCCAGCCTCAGCAACTTAGTGAGACCCTGTCTTAAAGTAAAAAATAAAGAGGGCTGGGATGGGGCTCAGTGGTGAAGTGCCCCCTGGGTTCCATTCCTGGTACCCAAACAAAACAAGTCTCCGGGAGTGTTACATTACTGAAAGCGCTGCCCATCTGGATTGAATAAGACTGATTTTTCAGCACATAAAATGATCAGGAGCCCATGCATTCAACAGGAAACAGGCTGATGCTGCCGATAAGCAAAACAGAGACAATCAAGAGAAAAGTGGCAAAGACAGGGG